TATAATCTGCCTGGACTTTAATAAGATTTTTAATTTGAGATCAGAGCAAGAAGATAGGAATGTGTGATATAAATCATGCCACTCTAAACACAGCTATGACTCAAGCATTTTACTGGGATTATCCCTATCTATATGTCTCATAAATAATTATTTAGAGAGACATATATGAGATTTTGAGTCACACCCATGTCCCCTATTCCAATTTAGCAATCTTTTAACTGAATAGCCAGTTAGGTGGAGGTCAAATTATCTTAATTATGGATTAAACAGAATTTGAGAATATAGCCTGGGTGCATAGTCAGATTGGCTCCTAATACCTTCACCACTGTATTGAATTTATCACCAGTGCTGTAGGCCTATACCTTAATATCAACCTATTGAGGGCTGAGCCTGCCATGATAAACTTCACTTTTGAAGGGTAGGTAAAGTAAGGATGTAGAAAGTCATGGATACTCAGCATCTTTCCTCTATTTACCAATCAAATAGTCATTCTTGCTCTCTTGGGGAGGACAGACTGAGCAGACAAAGATAGTTAGAAAACCACTTTTCCTAACTCTGTGCTTCAGAAAGGGCAGGCATTCCTGTGTCTTGGCCATAGAAAAAGTAGTAGGGGAAGAGAGAAAATGGTTCTAATTAATATGCACTCAATCATATAAATATATGATCGATGTAGTGAGTCCTTTCTAAGTAGTGAAAAATTTGAGGGTAAACATTACGTTTTCAGGTGATAGCACAAAAATTAATGCCTCAGAAAACACTCATTCAGAGTGCGTTTAATCAATGAGTAAAGGGAATAATAAAGGGCAAAGCAACACAGATACAGGATAATATTAGACATATGAGAAACATGTTAACATTTGAACATACTAACATACTGTTAGAATTGTGTTAATAGGAATAAGATCTGTGAAATTAATATATTGAGAATTCTTACAACTCATCTTAAGTAACATATTAATTTTTGACAAATAGGTATAAAGCAAGACACACACACAAAAAAGTGGGAGGTTTCCATAGATCAAGCACAAAAAATAGGAATAGGATAAAATGTATGCAATGTTGAGCAGTAGAAAGAACACACATGTGCTTTGAAACACAGATCTGGGTTGAAATATTAGTCCTATGATGTATTCGTTACAGGGCTTCAGCCATGCCAGCTGACCTCCTAGTCTATTTGCCTTGTCTGTGAAATGAGAGCAGCTTCATATGGGTGTTATGATAGAATACATCACATCATGTCTGGCCTATGGTAACCTCTCAAACTCGCAGAGTTTCCTCGCTCCCTGGGAAACATATTATTAAAAAACAAAGCCTGAAAGAAATGAATTAATTTGTTTTGAATGAAAAGAGGTGACTTAGCCTGCCTTTCCTTCCAGTAAACAGTCTCTTAATACCCTGAATACTCTTAAGACCCTGAAGAATCTGAGCTGGAAGAAGTAGATTCAGAATGCGTCAATTTTCTCCATGACTTCCTAGGGAATATAATACTGGAATAGGAACCTAATGCCTAGAGTGTCCAAATGAGGATATTATACAAAATAGTCATAAATATGTATGCAAATAATTTGAGAATAGCCCAGCCTAATCTTTTCTGCAAGAATTTTATCTTTTTAATTTATTTATTTTTGAGAGAGAGAGTGTAAGCAGGGGAGGGGCAGAGGGAGAGGAAGAGAGAATCCTAGGCAGGCTCCACACTGTCAGTGCAGAGCCCAATGTGGGGCTCAATCCCACAAACTGTGAGAACATAGCCTGAGCCAAGATCAAGAGTCAGATGCTTAACCAACTGAGCTACCAGGCCCCCCTCTTCTGCAAGAATTTTAATGACACATGTGTTTTCCATGGCTATGCAAACTATGATCCAGTCCATTTATCTTGAAACTGAATTGCCTCAAATATTTTCTCAAATATATTTGTCAATTTATTGTATCATACATATACATTTCTAATAGATATTTATTTTTCTAGCTTTTACAACTGGGACAGTCATGTTGCTGTTTGGAATTCAACTCCCAATTATCAAGTGATTGCTGATAATCTAGAAGGCTTACTTTTCAAATACAAAAGAGACAGAAAAATTCTCAATGTGGATCCAAAGGTAAGACTGCTTTTACATTTATATATCTCTCCAAATTTTGTTGCATTTCTTCCATTATTAAAAAATCTATTAAATATTTGACATTCTTCAGTATTTGAATCTAGAAATAAAAGACTATGTTGAAATGTAGAGCATGCATTATTCTTAAAGAAAAAAAAACCTTCAAATTTAATAAATTTTTGAAAATCAATAAGGAAGGGTTTGAGAGAATTTAAATAGAACTCACAAGTGAGAATGCTTCTTTGTGCCTACCAGCAAAATTAGATCAGGGAGCCAGTGAGCAATGCATTTGTGTGTTCTGATCCTGGGGATGTCTAGTACTGTTTGCTCTAAATGGATAGATGAATCATTTACAGAAGGGAGACTCTCACCTCACAAATGTTCCCAGAATTTTAACGTCCCTTTTTGTATGTGACTAACACGGAAAACAGTATTGCCCTTAGTGTATTTCTAAGTGGTAACTTAGAAAATGTATTTTATTTGAATATTCTAAAGACATGTCCCATGGTATTTTGAACTTGTTCAAGGACAAATATTTATATATTTTCAAAGACTGTTTGCATCATGACTTTTAATCATGGCTTGTCATATGTTTGGAGGTGAAGGTTAAAACTTAAAGTCATTTGTGTTTGAGTTGCTTAGGCATTTTGTTTGTAACTTCTGGAAAACATGTTATTCACATGACAGCATCAGTCTAAAATCCAAGTCAAGAAAAATAATCCTTCATAGTGAAAGAAATAGGAATTGTATGATATGCCTAGGATAAGGGCAAGGATGGACCACAGGCAAGTGGGAGTCTGGTTCTAAAAACTTTTCCAAGACTTCTTAGAAATTTAAAATTGAAAAAACAAAATGATTTTTGTTTCATATCTACTTAGTGTAATTTCTTGCTCATAAAAATTGCCCAATAACTCAAAGAATGCTAAAAAAAAAGTTGCTCAAAGAATGAATAAATGAAATTTTGTAGTAAGAAATGGATTGTTATCTGCAATCAGATATAGCTCCAAATATGAGAAACCCCAACACAGTGACTTAAACAGAATAGAAGCTTCTTTCTCTCTTAAGTGTGAGTCTAGATAGTGTGACTCCAAATCTAAAATGGCAGCTCCACAGTCTATAGGCAAAGGTGGACCTCATCCTCATGGGCCAAAACAGAAATCCAGCCAAAACAACCACATCCCAGACAGAATTCATGGAAGGAGTTTAAAGGTACAAAGGACATCCCCCCTCCCCCCCCACCCCCACAGTACCTTTTAAGGAAGTTTTCCAAAAGCTACTTCACAAAGGGTCACTTATGTTCCATGGCAAGAGCTTAGTCACATGGCCATATCTATCTGCATGGAAGGCTGGGAAATGGAATCTTTATTCGGGTGGTCAAACACTTAGCTGAAATCAGAAGTTCTGGAAAAGGGAGAAAAGAGGTTTGGGTAGACAGCTAGCATTTCTGACACAACACTATCTCCTTCAAGAGAACACTTCTCTTGTGGTGCCTGGCTGTCTCAATAGGAGGAGCATAAAACATTTGATCTTCGGGTTGTGAGTTCAGACCCCACATGGGATGTAGGGATTACTTAAATAAATAAAGTAAAAAAAAAAAAAAAAAAAAAAAGAACACTACTCCTTTTTTTCTTTTCCCCTTTGGTCTCAGGTTTCTCATTAGTCAAATGAAGGACTGAACTTGAAAATCATTGGGGCCATATTTAGTATGAATTTATGAATACCAACACATCTTCTCTCTAGTGGTGCCCCTTTCCTTATCACAAATGAGTGTCAAAATTGAGGCAAAGTACAGGAAACTTAATAAATTACATCTGCAGAGACTTTAAGAGGGCTAAAGATATAAAATTTTCACAGCTTCATTAAGATGTGTGAAGTAAATTTTTGAATCAGTTTTGAATGATATCACACTTAAACTACTTTAAGCTTTAAGGCTCTGTTTTAACTAACAACATATATATACTTCAAGAATGTATGTCATGAATTATAGTTTTTATAGTCTTTGCGGAATCATTATTGAATACAAATTGTTATTTGAACATGGTTTAAATAACTTAACTAAAACACTCATTTCCTAAATAATTAATCATGATACTTCAAAGATTTAGTCAGCAATACATGAAATATAACATTTTCCTCTTTGGGGGAGGAAGGTTTTGATTATAATTGGACTATAATTCAAAAGATTCGTGATGAGTCTGAAGGAAAGGTATTTCCAAATCCTAGAGAAAGAACAAGGGTTTAGTTAATTAGTGATGAGAAGAAGGAATTACTAAAAGAATTAATTATAAAAAAATTATTGGTGGGACACCTGATAATATTTAGATACTTATATGTATTTAATTTTTATATTGATTTTATCTCTTTGAAGATAAAAATTAATAGATGACCTACTGGAAAAGAATGCTGGTTTCAGCATCAATAAGCAAAATTCTATGCCTTACTTTACTGTTAACTGACTGACTGACCTTGAGAAATTCACTCAACTTCTCAGGGTTTTCTAGTTCATAATAGAAGATGTGAGTGTTGTTGTTGCTGTTCCCTGATCTCTAGGGTCCCTCTACAGCCCCAGTTCTTGGAGATCCTGACTCCACTGGTCCCAGACATACATATTTTCACAGGCAGCCAGTGAGATTCTGCTACAGATGAGCTATGAACCACAATTTGAGAAAAGCTTCTCCATAAAAAGACAATAATCTCAAGAGATCTAGCACTCCTGTTTTCAAACATAAGCGTTCTCAAATATATTTTGATTTTTATGGATTAGATATGAAATTATCATGTACCTCTCCTACGTGCACCCATACAGTATCTGTGGTAGACACGCCTACAGGAGAATCAAAAAATAAGTTGTCAAGTTTTTTTAAATTACAAATGCACAATGATAAGATGCATTTTTATACTCAACATTGTTATGAATAATTTTATTTGAAATTCTTGCTAAAATAAACACCATAACTTATAACTCCAAAATGTGCTCTAAAATATTGTAAGAACAATACAACTCAACTCTCCTTTTCCTTTCCTTCAGATGATCTCTTTGCAATATTTTATGCTTAAAATTTTTAAAGGTCAAGATAAACGAAAGGTGGAAATTGTGATAAACAGGATGTCTTTGCACAAGACAGATGTAGACTCATTAATTCTGAAAAGTGGTTCCCACGAAACATAGTTGTTTGTGAACGGTAACAGTGGAAAAAAGAAAATTGTGCAGATCTTAGAACAAGTAATATGAGTTCATTGGTTAAGAAATTCCAAATGCAATAAGAGTTTGGTTGCATTGAAAACAGGACCACTGGCTTTAACTTCCCTGCAGCTGTATAACATCTGGAACAAATAAAGTTAGTTTCTATTTTTGAGTGAAGAATGCTTGTCTGAGTGATTCACACCCACCAAAATGTTTCCAGTGTATTATCTTTAGAAGGATTGAGTGGAAGCACTTTGCACTCACTCCCTACATTATCTGGACAAATGAAAAAAAATAGGCATTTTTCTTTTCCTTTTAGGAAGCATCAACCATGGGAGAGTTTCCTTGAGTCTTAGAATAACCTAGGTGGTCTAAAACCTTCCTGATCTACTAATTGGAGAGACAGATTGTATAAAACAATTAAAAGTAAGAAAAATCTTCCTTGGGGCGCCTGGGTGGCTCAGTCGGTTGAGCTTCCGACTTCGGCTCAGGTCACGATCTCGCGGTCCGTGAGTTTGAGCCTCGCGTCGGGCTCTGGGCTGACAGCTCAGAGCCCGGAGCCTCCTTCCGATTCTGTGTCTCCCTCTCTCTCTGCCCCTCCCCCGTTCATGCTCTGTCTCTCTCTGTCTCAAAAATAAATAAACATTAAAAGAAAAGAAAAGAAAAGAAAAATCTTCCTTAATGTCACCAGCTTTTCTCCTCTCCCCTCTTCCATTCACTAAAATGTGAGAGCCCATCACCTGGAAAAATGCCTGGTTAATAGACACTCAATAAGTATTCATGGAATAAATGGTTGAATGATTCCTTCCAAACACACAAAAATAATCCTACGCTAATTAAAAGTTGGGAAGCAGATTATGTCTCTGATACTTGAGATAGCAGTGATAGCCAGAATGGGAATAGCCACCTCATTCTATATTAATCCAAATAAGCTGGGAAAACACAACTGCAGGAGTTTGTTAGCAGAAACAGCTCTTGCAACTGTAGTTTTAGGTTTTGTAAAGGTTATACAGAAATTTTAATTTTGGTATGTGTTTTCAAGTTTTCTTGTGCAAACCCAGGAATATATAATTTAAACTATCTCAAATTAAGACTGTTGAATTAGAACATGTTTTTAATTTATGAGTAAATTGACTCAAACATGTTTAATTACTTACTCAAAGTCACATAGTTCATTATTAGCAGAAACTAGTAATGGAGCTTAAATGTAAATATTATGAGACACCATAGGGGATCTAAAGATGAGCAAGAATTCAACCCTTGCCCTTTATTAAGCTTATAATATATTTAGGGAAACAGACATATGAAAAATAATACATGCTTTTAAAAAATATAAGCATAAGGCAGAAAGTGATATCTTGCAAAAAGAGAAATACTCTGGGAATTCCACGGAAGAAGAGATGATTATTGATCCGGGGTAGGAGCCGGTAGAGAGGGCATGATAGAGGACAGGGTTGGGGATGGTTAGATGATAATAGAGGAGGTAATCTTTTAATTGGACTTGATGAATGATTAGGAGTTGAACTCATAGAGATGGTGAGGCAGGCAATACCAGGAGTGACCCCAGTTAGCAAAGATAAGGTTGATGGGGGTAAAACAGACAGAGGAAAACCTCACTGGTTCAATTCGACTGATGTATTGGCTTGAAGAAGGGTTGTCATGGGAATGAAGCATAGAAAGACTTGAATGCAGTGCTGATGAGAATCTCAGACTGGACTTGGTAGGAAATGAGGATACATCCAAGCTCTTATAGGAAAATAACAGGATGAAAGTTATGTTTTAAAGGGAGGAGAGGGTGTACATTAGGACAGACTAA